CTGCAGAATGATAAAGCTTAGCCTTTCAAATGAATTCCCATCCGATTTTTAAGAATCACCACCTGTTTCTGACAGGCTTTCACTACTTCTTCCTTAATGCAGGCAGTGGACGTGGACACGGTTCAACTTGAAATATTTGGGAAAATTAGCTGCTCCTCTTTGGGATCAATTCTGCGACCTGACAAAAAGTTAAGCTTCTGTACTGTGATACTGCACTTTGTGTATATGTCTCTGTTATATTTTAGTTACTAAAATGCTTAGGGTTCTCTTCAGTGTGAGTTTTGTGTTGTGAGAATAGGGATCATGACCTTTTTATGTTCCCCCATGTGCGATGCTGGGTGGATGCCACTAGACCAGGGGTGGGCAAACTTTTTGACTCGAGGGCCACAATGGGTTCTTAAACTGGACCGGAGGGCCGGAACAAAAGCATGGATGGAGTGTTTGTGTGAACTAATATAAATTCAAAGTAAACATCATTACATAAAAGAGTACGGTCTTTTTTTTTTTTTTTAGTTTAATTCATTTCAAACGGGCCGGATGTGGCCCGCGGGCTGTAGTTTGCCCACGGCTACACTAGAGTGTCAGCTGCATGCAGGCAGGGACTTCTTTGCTTTGTTTTGATGTGTGCACTGTGGTTTTCCAGTATCTAGGATCGTGGCTGGCCCAGAGCAGGGCTCAGCAGGTACTCGTTGAATGTGTTGTTGCATTAATTTATTTTTGGCTACATATTGGTTCACGTGAATGATAATCTGCGACATTGCTATAAAATAGTCTTATAATTCAAGTTTTTACTGTTCCAAGTATTTGAGGTTGTAAAACTAGCCATGACATAACTCTACAACTAACCAGTCAGCTGATGATAAAATTAGCTTTCACTCAAACATCCCTCCCTGTTGGCTGCTGTGTCTGTTCCTGCCCACCTTGCCCATGTGTTTTTGGGTCAAATATCCAACAGAATAGTTGCAAAGTGAAGTTGCAAATCTTACAAAAGCTGTAGGATTTAATAAAATGATATTGCAGGAGCACTGGAAGTGGTAATTACTCTGATAAATAACAATTGGCTTTTTTCCTTTACTTAAGTCTTTTTAAAAGATAATCGTCTGTTTATGTAAAAATAACAGCAGTGTATGTGGGGTTTATAACATGTAGAAATAAAAAGTATGACAACAGTAGCACAAAGCCTGGGAGGGAGGAGATGGAAGTAGCTGCTGGGAAGTTCTTACATGTGAGAGGTGGTGTGATATCATGAAGGTAGACTGCGGTAAGTTACAGGTGTATGTTAAAATCCTAAAGCAACCACTGAAATAACACAGCAAAGGGTTTGGCTAATAAGTCAACAAAGGAATTAAAACAGAAAAAGAGTTAGGGAAGGTGCAAAGAACAAATGGGACAAATAGAAAAATGGTAGGTTAAGCCCATTTTTACCAATAATCACATTAAAGATAAATAGTTAAACACACCAGTTAATAGCAAGACCAACCATATGCCATTTATAAGAAACTCACTTTAAATATAAAGACATGGCAAAGCAAAAAGACAAAAAATATAATCCAAAGAATGCTGGAGTGGCTCTGTCAGGTTCAGACAAAGTAGATTTCAGAGCAAAGAGTATAACCAGGGATAGAGGATGTTCATATAATAAAGGGTCAATTCATCAAGAGGACATAACAGTCCTAAATTTTATGCACCATAAAGTGGTCCTGGAGGACTGTGCAGATGACACTGGCACCATTAACAAGTGAGGATCTGACCAAGTTCTACACTTAGCAGTTGAAATAGAGAAAATAACGAAGATGATGGCACAATAGGCATTCAGAGAGAATTAAATGGATGGAGCCCTGGAATGTATTTTCCAAAAAGACCCTTCTTAGGATAGCTCTGTGAAACTCAACCTGTGGGGAAGCCCATTTTATTGCATACAAGTCTGTTGGAAAAATGATGCCAACAAAACCAATACTTGATTAATAATGAAAAATGTGTTTATAGATAAACTCCATGTGTGCTTAGAGTGAGCTGTGGTTGAATAACTTCCACACTTGGCAGAACACAGGGTGAGTTGACGTCAGTTACTCATCGATCTCATAGTTATTTTATGCACTTGTAAATGCAGCTGCTCATCCTACACGTTTCTAGCTAAATTCCAGCCCAGCCTCATCGTGTACCCAGTGGCTTTGGACACTTGCTTAACCACTCGGAGCTTCTGTCTCTTCTCTTTTGTAAAGTGAGGATAAGGATGGATGCTCCTCCCAAGACAAAGTGAGCACTGGATGAAAGTAGATGACAGTGTCTGCACGTTTGAAAGTTCCTTGCAAGTAGCAACTTTCATTTCTCTCTACTCCTGATTGTGATGTCTCCCAACAAATGCCACGCGGAAACATTTGGAAGAGGCGCATCTTGGAATGCGCCTGTCTCCTATTTTGTGTGCAGAGCCATTGGTGTTTTCTGCTGCATGTCTGTTTCTTCTGAGTCAGGAGGGAAAGAATTTACCAGAATATTTGCCAGGGAATGTGTTATGGAGCCTTTGTGATCTGCTTATCCCCCAAGTTTATCATAATTCTTGTACTTCAGATATTGAGCATCCTATTTTACATATGAAGCAACATTTAACTCAAAAGCTCTGCTTTGGTTTGTAATCACCTACTTAAGTCTACTGACAGTTTGAAAGTCTGGCAAAGCAACCCAAAGGTATTATTTTCTTCTGACTATATTTATTTACTGCTGAAGCATACTTCACAGTGAGTTTGTAAGTTCAAGTCATTTATTGTTTAAAGACAAAAGTACAAGCAAGAAAAAAGAAAGATGGGAAGATGGATCACAGAGAAGAAACATGAGCAGCTACATCTGTTTTAGGTAGTAGGAAGCTGTAGATAATAGGACTGGATTTATGGATGAGCAATAGAGGAAATCAGTGTTATTAGATTAAAAACGCTTTATACACAGCAGGAACTGTAGAATACATAAAAATAAATGATTGGTCTTCTCCAGCATTTTATGTGGTTTATCTCCTTTAATCTACCCTCAGCCCTGGGTAGTAGGTAATGTTATCTTCAGTTTTACAGGTGAGGAAACAGGCTCACTGCTTTATGTAACTCACCCAAGGCCTTCAGCTGGCGAGCAGTGGAGCTGGATTTGAACTCAACGAAATAGCCACGGACTGTGTTATCGCCACAGATTGTTTCTGTGAATTTTGAAAAAATAAAATCAGTTGGAATTGGAACAAACCATTATCCAGCATCTACAGAAAGTAATTCTTTTCTTGGGTAAACCTTTGAGGGGAAAGAACTAGCTTGGGGTCATAAAGAAGAAATGATTTGGTGAGAAAAAAGAATCAATGGCATTGCAAATACAGAAAAGTGTATATACCTGCAGGGGACTGAAAGTTCCTGTAGACCGCTGGTTCTCAAACTCAAGCTTTCACTCCGGTTGAAAATTTGCTTTTCTAACAAGCCCCGGGGATCCTGATGGTCCTGGGCCCGCCCACTTGGAGAGCAGTGCCGTAGACAGTTTGAGAAAGGTGGAGACATGGCCAGTGTGTGTAAGAGGACTTCATCTGGGTAGCAGCAGTCAAGGTGCTGGGGTGAGGGTGGATTATAAAATCAGTTTTTAACCAGTGCAGCAAAGTCAAGCTCGGGTTTTTACAACTGTGCATGACCAGGGGGGTCTAGAAGAAGGAGGTGGTGAGGAAGGATGTAAACTACTTTTAATGGCTGGCGTCTGGAGAAGGGTCTGGCCCAGAACAGGTGCTCAGTGGTTATTTGTTGCACAAATGAGTGGACAAGAAGAAGAATGAGTTAACTCCATATGTTAGCACTACTCAGCAATTAATTCTTCTTAGGTTTCTCTCATGAAAACATATTTTAAAAATTTAACTTCTTGGTAAAGATAGTTTTTGGAAAACATTTTAGTATGTACAAGGAGGTAACAGGAAACTTCCCTCCTGCTCTTCTTCCTTCCCTCTGGTTTCTTTCCTTAGAGGCCAGTTACCATTAATAGTTTCTTGTGTGTCCTTCCAGGATATTCCATTTGTGTGTGTGTGTGTGTGTGTAAATTTTTTAAGACACAAGAACAGTGTAACGTACTATACTACTATTTGTTCTTTACTTTTTTTCATTTAACAGTATATTTTGTTGATCATTTCATATAGCTTATATAAGGCTGACTCAGTCTTTTTTAACTGGTCATTTTATTTAAATTACAAAGTATGGAGGTGGCATTATTTAAGTAGCTCTCTATTTATGGACATTTAAAACTTGCAATCTTTTGAACTAATTAAAAGCAGTACAGTGACTAGCCTATATACATTTGTAATTTCGTAAATATTATCTAATCGCCTTCAAAGTGGGTGAATTAGTTTACATCCCCACCAACAATTTGAGAGCGCATTTCCCTGAATTCTCAACAACAAAATACTTTATGAAATATTTTATCTTTGTCAATATGACTGATAAAAATGGTATTATAGTTTTTATTTATCTTTTTCTAATTGAGTGGATTTTTACGTTTTTTTATGTTTGAGTCAGTTGTGTTTCTTTTTCTGTGAACAGTATACTCCTGTCCTTCACTCACTTTTCAGTTGCTTTTTTTTCTTAGTGAATCTTAGAAGCCCTCTATATATAACTAGTGGCCTGGTGCATGAAATTTGTGCACGGGTAGGACCCCTAGGCTTGGCCAATAATCAGGGCCGATCAGGTTCCCTGCCTCCCTGCCTTCTCCTTCCCTCGCTCCCCCCACTCCCCCCACTGCTGCTGCTGCTGGTTGCCCGCCATGTTCCACGCCGCCCCCTGGTGGTCAGTGCATATCATAGCGAGCGATCGAACTCTTGGTCGAACTCCCGAGGGAACAAATTGCATATTAGCCTTTTATTATATAGGATAGAAATTGGTTCTTTGTTATATGTGATGCAAATATTTTATTCATTTTTAAATTTTCTTTACATTAAACAATTGTTATTTTATAATTACATTGAAGTAGCTATCTACATACTTTTTTTTTCTACATAGGATTTCTTAATATTTGGGATCTAAGGACTGGAAAGTATCCTATTCACCGCTTTGAGCATGATGCAAGAATACAGGCACTAGCCCTCAGCCAGGAAGATGCCACTGTTGCCACGGCTTCTGCTTTCGATGTTGTGATGTTGCATCCCAATGAGGAAGGATATTGGCAAATAGCTGCAGAATTCGAAGTTCAGAAACTGGTGAGCTTTTAGTCTGGTCATTTTATTTTTCATTCTTAGAACCTCTGAATCTAATATAAACAAATAGTAATGATGTGGGAAGCTCCCATTCACTCAGGACTCCCTGTGGGCCTCACATCCATAAATCTCACCATTGCCTTGCGAAATAGGTACTATCATTTTCCCTGTTTACCAAGAAGCCAAGAGAAACTTAGAGCAGTGACTGGACCAGCCCCAGCCTCACAGCCAGGAAGTGTGATTCGGACCCAGGGCTCACTTCAGGGCTAGAGTGTCTCATTGCCATGGTCCTCATCCGCTTTCACAGGACGTCCACCCCTTGGAATCTAAGGTCAGCTTCTGGCCTCATACAGAAGTGAAAATGAGTTCAGTGACATTATCCCAGTCCTTATGGCAAGGAGGGTTCCATCCTCAGCTTTCTTCACCCCAAGTTTTTTTACCTGGAAGTAAAAGTAGCTCCTGTGTGAAAATAGGTAGAAGTCGGTGTCTTGTTCCAGGACGTCACGTGTGAAGCTGAGCCAGCCGTAAAGAGTTCTTCACGTGGAGCTTGCTTCTAAGTTCAGTTGTACGTGAGCCTCTGCATTCTAAGGGTAGCAGGTGATTTGCTGGTAGAAGGAAGTTTAAATCTGTGCTGAATTCCGGTTTAATTTAAACAAACCTGATTTTGGCACTAGTAGGAGAGTGAACAGAAGAGCCAACATTGAAGAATAAATTGATGGCCTGACCTGGAACAAATCCTCTTCCTCTCCCTTTCCTCCTGGTGAGAATCTTATTAGACTGAATAACTAAAAAGCCGCGTGTTACTGCCTCACCTCCATAAGCTGCTTGTCCCTCTAATGAGCCAGTCTCAGCAGTTCGGGTCTAGTGTTCCCCCAAACTGCCTGCGGCTGTTCTCCCATCTTGGGTTTTATTAGAAAAATGTGAAAGAACCATATTTGTTTGTTTTCACAACTTCTATCGTGCTTATTATCTGGTCTTTGACTAAAGAACACTGTAGAATGGCAACAATTATATGAACTCAGACAATTACTTAAGATGTGAGTCCTTCTATAAAATGTAAATCCTGCCTTGGCAATCAGTGGCATCCTGGCACAGACTGGATGCTTTTTGAAGTAGTGTTACAGCTCCCAGCAGTGGCCCAGCCACTGCCAATCAGAGCGTCTTGGTCTGTCCAAAATCCAACATGAAGATGAAATTACACGGCTGGGCTGAGGATGTCAGTCTTAGGAAAGTAAGAAATGGTTTTTAGACTGGAGAGAGGGAGCAAGCTGGAGGCGGGTGCTGTAACACTTTATGTGTTATTTCTCACCCTGCGTGCGGGGTGGCCACAGGCTGCCTTGTCACTGGCAGGCACCCCTGGCCTAGAGCGATGGGTCCTTTTGTCTTCCCCAGATAGGCTCCCCCATTCGCAGTGGCAGCGTTCCCGTGTTTGTGATGTCAGCCTAGAACATCAGCCTTTGTGATGGGCCCTGGGCTTTGGACGAGGGGCCGAGGATTAGCAGAGCCACCCAGATGTTCACTCTCTGTCTCCAGCTCCCCTGGACGGCCCTCAGCATTCAGGCTTTGGACTCAGTTATCTTGTTTCAGGGCAATACTGTCCTTTTACACCGTGGATTTTCATAATTGAATGGCTTGGCTCACCTGTTGGCGCGCTCTCAGAATTTACTCAGGGAGGTGAGAACCAGTGGTAAACTACACTGGGGGAGTGCGCCACTCAGGGATCTAGAAAAGCACATTATTCTTGAAGGGACCTCCCCTACACATGCAGATTAGAGAAGGGCCTGGCACAAAAAGGCTGTTGGTCGTGGCCTTCCTGCTCCCGATGGCATTGAAGCCTGGAGAGAGCAGGTAACTCAGATATTTCTAACCTTTTAGCAACGCAGTTTTGGTGTTTGCACAGATGTTAAAATGTGATTTTTGCCCATTTGGAACTGAGTGAATTTTATTCAGTTTCTGGTTTAAAGATACTTTTGAATAACTATTACACCTGCATGGGTTCAGAATTTAAAAGATCCAATAAAGTTTACAGTGAGTAACATTTCCACCCCATCCCTCAACTCTTCCCTCTTTGAAAGCAGCCATGATTAGAAGATTTATGCACGTACAAGCCAAGTACATCACACCCTTCCTCTGCCCACATGCACACACGTTAGCACACTGGGAATCCGTTACCTTGCTTCCTTGCTCTCTGCCCAAATGAGTATCAGTTCATGAAGACTGTCTTCATGCTTTTGCCCAAGACTGCGTGGTATTTCAGCGCAAATATGGACTGTCAGTTATTTATAGTCCGTTTAGCATTTTCCAGTTTTTAGTGATGAAAAAGTAAAGCTTTAGCCAATAACCTGTACACATGGTTTTGATTAATGCAAGTTTATTTGTATGGAAAGTCCTGGAAGGAACTTGCTGGGTCAGAGCCTAAGTGCATTTGACATTGTGGAAAGTGTTGCCGATTTCCCTCTATAGCAGCAGTTCTCAACCTGTGGGTCACGACCCCTTTGGGGGTCGAACGACCCTTTCACAGGGGTCGCCTAAGACCATTGGAAAATACATATATAATTACATATTGTTTTTGTGATTAATCACTATGCTTTAATTATGTTCAATTTCTAACAATGAAAATACATCCTGCATATCAGATATTTACATGACGATTCATAACAGTAGCAAAATTACAGTTATGAAGTAGCAACGAAAATAATTTTATGGTTGGGGGTCACCACAACATGAGGAACTGTATTAAAGGGTCGCGGCATTAGGAAGGTTGAGAACCACCGCTCTATAGACATTGGACCAGATTACATCCCACCAACCGTAGGGGGACCCATCATGTGGTTGTCCCCTTCACTTCCAGGCCAGTGTCTCAGCAGACAATGTGATCTTTACTGGTATGACAGGTGAAAATGGTACCTCGGTGAATTTTTACTTTATATTTTTCTTATTAGGAGTGTATTGTGTTTCTTTAAGAACTGTGTGTCATTTCCTGTGAACTGCCCCTTTACCCGTCTTTTTCTGTGGAGTTGCTGGTCTTCTCATTGACATGTAGCGTGAACTATATACTTTCTGACCAAGTCAGGATGAACTGTATGTGGAACCTGAAGGACTAAATAACCCTTATCCTTTCCAGGTTGACTACCTTGAAATAGTTCCAGATACCGAAAGGTACCCTGTGGCAGTGGCCACTGCTGGAGATCTGGTGTACCTGCTAAAGGCTGACGACTCCGCCAGAACCCTCCACCACGTCTACGGGCAGCCCGTCACCTGTCTGGATGTCTCGGCCAACCAGGCTGCTTTTGGAGTGAAGAGTCTAGGATGGGTGCACGAAGGAAACAAGGTACAAATAGCAAGACATGCAATTAACAAAATAGAACATCAGTTTTTATTTTTTAGAAGGCAATTTAAAAAATCAAAGCTCCAAGATGTAGTTGGGAAATAGATATTTAGCATGGCAAAAGAATTCAAGCACTTGAAAAGGATATGAGGTGAAAAGAATTGTTTCTTTTTTCCTCCTTTTCCCCAACCCCACTCCACAGACAAAACTGATAATTTCTAATAGATATCTATCTAGAATATAGGTACATTTATACACCGGAAAACATGCCTTTATAGAAAAAAGGTTGCAGCAAAATTTATATTCTCACCAACAGTGCATAAAAGTACCTCTGATACTCTGAGCCAGAAGCAGGGAGAAAAGTTTTTAATTGAAATTCTTTGCATGATTACTAAATGTAATCACTACCTAGCGTTTTACTATCCTGACTGTAGGCCAAGTACTTAGTCTGAAAAGTCTTAAAGTTGATTTATGGAAGTCTCTTTCTCCTCCAGTGGGGTCAGGGGGGAGAGGGATCAAGTTTTATTTTGTTTTCCCTTCAGTGTGCCTTCTCTCAACCCCCTGGCAGTGGTGTGGTCCCAGGAAGAAACTTCTCTGCGCATTGGCTCCTCTGGCAGCTCCTCCTGAGGACAGAGGCCTTCTCCATGGCACTATTGTGGCCTGCTGCCCCATGTGGCCTGAAGCAGGCTGCTTAACCCTCCGTATGCCTCAGTGTCCTCATTTGTTTTTAAACATATTCTTATTGATTTCAGAAAAGAAGGGAGAGGGAGAGAGAGAAACATCAATGATGAGAGAGAATCATTGATTGGCTGCCTTCTGCATGCCCCCTCCTGGGGATCAAGGCCACAACCCAGGCATGTGCCCTTGACCAGAATCAAACCCGGGACCCTTCAGTCCGCGGGATGATGCTCTATCCACAAAGCCAAACCGGCTAGGGCTCAGTTTCCTCACTTGCAAAAGGGGGCTCATAACAGTACCTACACCATAGAATTACCAGATTAAATGAAAACATGTCTGTAAAGCTTTAAGCATCATGCCTGGCGTGTGACAGTTAATCATCACTGTGTGCCTCCTGGTATTTCTACCAGTCGTAGTTCAATGCTGGCCTCCGTTTGTGATTTTTTTTTACAGTTTCCCCTAACATGTAAGTCATCTGTAAGGTCAGGTCTCATTTATCAGGTGTTCACTGATTTTGCAACTTAGTAGGTACTCAAAGATTTGAAGCGTCCTGGATTCTAATTATGTTCTTCATCCAGTAAGATAGATAAGGCACTAGAAAGGCCTGTGGCTTCCTGCAGCCTCACTGAGAGAAGGGCCTCCCTTTGTGCTGGAGGAGTGCATATGTCAGCATCTGTCGGCTGACAAGTCTGCGATGCTCTAACTCCTGTGTTTTGTCTTCCTAGGAAGTGGGGGAAGGGGACAGCAATTGCTTTCTGAAGGCGGTTTCCTTTCTAGGGCTTTAAAAAAACTTTCTTTTCCGATCCCTGGTGAGCTCATTTGTTGAGAGAAGAAAGACTGCGGATTTGCTTTCTAATTTTTCATCCATTATGCTTTCAGGTTTGGGTTATCTCATTTATTTCTCAAGTCTCAGTGTAGTGAGGGGATAGAGATACGTAATACTAGCCTGGTTAAAACTTTCCATATTTTCAATAAATTTTTCATCTGGCAGATCCTATTTCTCTTTGACTTATCTAAGTAGATTTATTTCTATACAGTCTTATATTTTGATACAATCATAGTGGATATATTTGAGAGACCAGTTAAAGGGAGAGTTCAGCACAAAATCATACTGGGAGCATCCTTTAGATATCGATGGTACGGAGGCACTTTTGTGGATGCCTCTGAAAATTTCCAACCCAATTAAAAGCATTAATTATAAGAATCTGCTTATTAATACCTTAATTTTATGGAAATTTATTTTAAAATGTGTTCTCTCAAATAACTTGTTACTGGTATTTTCACTGCTATTTTAAAATTAAAAGTGGAAGTAAATTTGCTACAGAATTGGTTGAAGCATCCTTTGAAATCTGACAGTAGCAGTTAGTTACCCAAATATTTTGTGCGCACAACAGCAAGCCTTCAAACACTTGTGGGTGGCTGGCTGGTTGTTGTTAGTAATAACTTTGTGTCGAGATGTTTCTCCAACATGAATGCCACCCACTCGAATGTGAGGGAAGCCAAGCTTTTGTCTATGAAACTTCCCTTATTTTTGCAGAGGCAGGACTCTCCATCTGATTGTGTTTAATGGGTTTTCTGCTTCCTCAGAAGAACCTGCATTTTTAAGAAACGTAATTGTCCTGGAACAGCTCTGTGTGCGCTAAGCCATGTCATCCTGCTGCTGTCCTAGGATGTCGTGTCGTAACTCCCAGGGAGCTGCATGGGTGGTGCTCAGGGCTGCTCTGCTGTGAGCGCCGTTTGGCTGTGTCTGTGCTGGGCTTGCAGCGTGTGTCCCGGCACGTTTGATTAGGTTGGTGTCAGACTATTAGCGGTAGAGTTTGCCTGGAGCTACGTCCACATGGGGGTTTGTGTCTGCGCCTCTGGCCTGTGTAACTCGGAATCAGATGAAGGCTTTATGAGAACAGAGAGTTTGGCTTATCTTCGTTTGTACCTGATACAGAGCTGGGGCTTAGCTGGAGTCCATTATTGATTAACTGTGATAAAAACAGACAGCGAAGTCCAAATGTTGATATAAAATACATTTGCGTTGGGAACCGCAGTTTCTCTAGCCTGTAGAAGTGCTCCAGAGGTGATTTTTGTATAGTTGGAGGATATCCTTGCCCCGTACGATGATCGCATTAGCATTTTATAGGCACCACAGCTGTCAGAGCATCAAATAATAATGGTTCAAGTCCATCCACTCATAGATCCAGCTAGCCAGCCATCGTGTGCGCGTTCAGCACAGAGAGCCACAGAGCACCAGTTGTGTTCCTGGCACTGGGGTGTGAAACAGCCTCACGCACAGATTTCAGCAAACTGGTGCTTGTCAAGTAACCCAGCTCTGTCAATAAACAGTTTTCCAAGGAAATGAGACCAAGTAAGGTAGCAAAACGCACCTATTGAACCTTAAGAAAAGGCCTGTGAATACAGCTGGTTTGATCCTTTCCAGCTCCGTGTGTTCCGGGACCAGAGAGAGTTCGTGCTCTGCACATCTCCGTTGCTTATGCACAGAACTTCCCAGACTTTTGAATTTAGAGGCCAGGACTAGGGACCCCACTTGGAATCGCCAGCATTTTCTTTGCCCAAGTAAAGTCGTAGAAAAAATGGCCATTGTCTATTTTCACTTTTTGTTAAAAGATCAGATTTTTAAACATAGTTTTTTGTGTGTGTTTTTTAAAGAATAATTTAAAACGAGGTAATGCATTCACCCGATTCAGAAATCAACAGATCTGACAAGGAAGGGTGTGCAGTGGGATGGCCCCTCCCCACTCCTTTCAACCTGCCACCCAGTTTCTTTTCCTGGAGGCAAGTCAGTGTTGTTAGTTTCATGTACATCCTTCCAGAGATATTTTATGCACATGTAAGCAAATTACCTAGATATACCCTCAGTCCCCTCTTTTTTAAAAATGCAAATGGTAAAATACTATATTGTTGTTCTGCACCTTGCTTTTTCCTGCAACAAAACTTCTTAAAGATCATTTCACCCTGGTGTTTGGATATTGTTTTGTTTTGCTGTTTGCAATGTTATGGTCCCGCACCTGTGGATGGAGCTTGATGAGTTCGGCTAGCCCCCTCTAGATGTATGCTACATTGCTCCCTGTCTTTTGCTGCTGTGAACCACACTTGGCCCACATGAATGTGTTTATAGGGTTAGTTCCTCCGAGTGGACTTGCTGAGTGAAAGGGGTCCATGCCTTTTTTATTTTGATGGCTGTTGCCTCTATGGTGGCATCCCTGGGAAAGTGGCAGGTGGCAGTACACCCCATTTCCCTGGCAGTTCCTGGACATCTTTTCTCTCACAGGCTTTACAGAAAGATCACAACAAAGTGAGGCCAGAGGACTATACAGAGGTCTGTCTGCTCTTACTGTTCAGTAAATTATTTTGTAGCTCTGCTACTTAGGATGAGTGATGGGTTCATTTCAAATCACATGGCTTTACCTAGAACAGCGGTTCTCAACCTGTGGGTCGAGACCCCTTTGGGGGGTCGAACGACCCTTTCACAGGGGTCGCCTAAGACCATCAGAAAACACATATAATTACATATTGTTTTTGTGATTAACCCTTTGAGTGCCAACCAATATCCTAGGAACTATGCTAAAATTGCCAAGGCATTTTTGCTGATTTTACAGCAGTTTAGGAAAAAAATTATGAATCGCAAGTAAATGAAGTTACATATTCAAAAACTTAAGGAAACCTTTACTACATTGACATATTTAGCAATATCATCATCACTAATAAAAGCAGACTTAGAACTGGACGCCATTTCGAAGCTTTGATAGCGCTCCCGGCACTTTTGGCGAAAGACAGGAGGAGCGCGATCATGCTCCCCGGCACTCTAAGGGTTAATCACTATGCTTTAATTATGTTCAATTTGTAACAATGAAATTGGGGGTCACCACCACATGAGGAACTGTATTAAAGGGCCTCGGCATTAGGAAGGTTGAGAACCACTGACCTAGAACCAGTGCAGTGGGACTGTGGGACTAACAGCCCTCTCAGGCCCCGTCAGGTGGGGAGGAGCTGCAACACGCACTGATATGTGTGTCCTTCTTGGCTTAGTCGGTGCCATTTGAAGGAGAGTCCGTGGTTCCTCTAAGGTGGTGAGCCAACTCGCCTCTTTTAGGTAAAATGAAGAGGGGTGGGCACGTGACCTCTGGGCTTCTGTCCAGCATCCACGTTCCGTGAATTCCGGATGAAGTGATTAGGTGGTAGAAACTTCCTACTTTACCTGCCGAGTTGTGTTGAGCTGCTCCCCCATTGGAACTGCTGGGTGACTGAAGGCTTCTGAAATGGGCCGAGGAATCCATCACCCTACTCTTCTCTAACGAGACCTCCCCAAGGGCGAT